ATTAGGGTGTATTCCTGCAGGAAGTTAGGGCGTGACAATAGGAGTTTTAGGGAAGTTGAGGTTGAAGATTATTGCTGCTGGGATTAGGGTGTTCCTGCTGCTTGTTCCCGTTGAGTTCTCAGTGAGATTCAAATGGGATTTGAAAAAAGCCTCATGGAGTAGGATTTGGGATTGGACATATTGGGAATTGCCCCTGAACGTGTGTGGAGGCTGGTGTGAGATCGGAAATAAAGAATTGCTGTTTGAACCTACAAAGCTGTGTGGTGGCTCGTGATTCTGTGCCAAGCCGAGACATTGGCACTTGGCATTCTGGCAATGTGCAGGCTCTCTCCTTTCTCACTCTTAGCCTTCCCTGGGCTCCTCCTGCCCACCACCCTGCCAGCTTCTACTTGCCACTAAAGCTCTGGATTCTCCAGAGACCCTTCTTCTAGACAAACAAGGGACGCAGAACCTCCTCCCTGCTTCTATGGGCACAGTACATTGTAAAGCCCTGGGCAGCAATGTCCCTGGCCAAGGCCACACTGAAGCTAACACTGAAATACAAAGGGCAGACTCAGCAGGCTGGATAAGAGGCCTAAGACCAAAAAAAAAAAMCAAAAAACTGTCAACTTAACTTTTCCCTTGACTCCAACACAAAAGAATGACTTCAAAACTTTCTATCTCCCTGATCTCACAGGCCCATTTCACCTTTAAGTGGCTGAAAAGCAGGGATTTTTCTCTAGGGGTCCTGGAACMCATGCTGGGCCAGCCTTTGCCCCTGGGGCTTATCTATAAAAGAGTCTTGACCCTACTGTTCAGGGGTGGGCCCCTGGCCTACCAACCTTGGCTACAGCCTCTCATTAACAAGTCAAAGAAACTCACCTTTGGACCCCACCCCCATCCTGGCTCCCCACCACCTAGAGGAACTGCTCACCTACAGGGCTTGCATTCCCTACCCCCTGTCGCCTTGTATCTCTACAGGTGTCCCTGGTGGGAGATCCCAGTCTTACCTTCCACACGTGTTCACCTTTAAAGCCTGCTCCTCTCCTCCCCGCTCCTCCGGACTCTTCCTCCTCTTCTCCTCTTACCCATTCATGCATTGAAACTCTGGAGGAGCCTCTCCCACACCCCTCCCAAGTACAGGAGGGCCCCTGGCTCCTCATCTTTTCTGGCCCCTTCTTTCATACATTGGGAACCTTCTTTGGCAATACAGCAATGCTGTTCTGGAAAAGCCTGGTTCTGCCTCTTCCCCTTCTCCTGGCGACCTGGTACTTTTTAACCGCCCCCCTCCAACAGGACCCCTTCTCACAATTCTCTGCATAATYGACTGGACCCTATCGGGTCATTCTTACCACTCCCTYGGTGACCCGCCKTGAGGGTACCCATATTGGGTTCACAACTCCCATTTAAAACAGTCCTCTTGCCCTTTTTCACAGTGAGACCCACAGGCCCTCTCAAGCTGCATCTCTCCAAGGCCGGAACCCCCCATCTTCCTTCCGTCCCTGAGGACCACGAGGACACTGTGGAACCATGAGTACCACCCTTCCCGTTTTCATTTTTGGCCTCCTCCCTTATTCTGCACTCTCCTCCCAGGGCACCATTATCAGGAGTTACCATKCCAATTTCCAGAAGACTCACATGGAGACTTGCTCCAACCATACTAACCATACAGTCCCAGCTCGATTCTGCAGAATTGAAGGGGCCTTGATCCTTTTACCACCAAAACAGGTGGACTTTGTCTGTAACTACAGGCGGAATGCTATTTTTATGTCAATCAATCTGGTATAGTAAAGGACAAGCTAAAACAACCCCAACAACAGCTCTCCTCTACTGAAGATGGCGGCTAAGTAACCCCCTTGTCCAGTGGACACTTCCTTTCCTGACCCCTCTCCTTGCCATAGGCCTTCCAAAAAATCTCTAATCAAACTATAAACCAGCTTTTGTTACAGGAATACCAATTCCTCACCAAAAATTGGGGCACCGGGAACAGCATTCCAGCACCAATCAACCTCCATCGTCCTTCCAAGGACATCCTGCACCCCTAATGAGGGATTCAAACGCCACCCCTTCCCAGCAGGAAGCAGTTACAGAAGATTGACCTAGGTCCCTGTTCCCAAGGGGCCCAATAAAAAATAAAAAAGAGGGGAATATAAGGTCCTTGCTTACCATCTGGACAGCCATCTTAAGTGACAGCAGCCAGTTTAAGAAAAAAGTGACGCTTTCCCACCCAAGGGCCTTTCTGAGAAAGGGTCCCCACTCCCTCACACCAACCCAAMCCTTAACCACCCTCATTAGGACCCTCCGGGCTCTGATTTCTAAGCCTCTCCCATAAAAGTCCCAGAACTCAAACCTGTTTTGTCTCTCTCTGCTGTAGAGAGACTGCCTTTATTTGTCAGCTCTGACAAATAAACTCTTGTGCGTTGTCTCTGCCTGGTCTCTGTCTCTCATTTCTCCATTTCCCTTCATCATGTGCCTGGGGTAGGTTGTCATCTGAATCCAGATGGGTGAGTGACAGGAGCCAGGGCTGCCCTATCTCCTGCTATGGCATGAGAGGTCTATAACAGAGGTCTTCCCCAAGGGAAGCTGTGACATTCCATGTTATTTGGTGGGCCAGGAAGATGGGARCCAGGTGACTCTCAAGAGGTACCTCAATGAGGTCCAGTACAGGAATACTGAAGACCAGAACTGATCACGAGGGCTTTGAAATACACAAAACCCGCCCAGGCTCTCCCAAAGTCTTGAAGTTCTAATGAGGGGTTAGTGTTTCTGAATCCCAGAGTGCAGCTGTGTGATTCTGTGTATGTCACAAACTTCTCTGAACTTTCCAAATGCGGCAAGTACTTTGACCTCACAGAGTTGTGGAAAATGAATTAAAAGGTGTGTGGTGTTAAATATTTTCAAGTGGCAAAGAACTCCAGGTATAGACCGCAGAGCTGTTGTCATACCTAAAGACAGAAGTCCCCTACTGAGTGAGATTCCTTGACATGCTGAAGCCAGAAAAGCACGGCAACTCCCAGGGTCACTTGACCTCTGGGGTGGGCCAGTTCTGTGCTTCATTCCCTTTCTTCCAACTGTCCATGAGTCACGTAAGATCCCCTCTCCCCATCACTTCCTTCTCATCCCTCCTCCCTGACAGTGCAGGTATCCCATTTGTTCACTGGTCTATACGCAAAATCCAATGCTGTCTGGCCCTTAGTAGGTGTTCAACGCTATGAATGGAATGAAGGAAGGGAGGAATAAATGTCCCCTATCTTTGCTCAGGCGGCTACCAAAATGCTTGGCATGTTCTTCCACCCCCAGACCATCTTGTCCAGGAAGCCTCAATTGCCCTCTCCAGGGTCTCCCTTCTTTCCTCTCCTTTTTGGGGTGCAAAGCCAGAGAACAGCACAATGCCTGATTCAATGCCTCCTGGGCCAGCTCCCAGGTTCTTGGAGGAAAGGGAGGAGACTTTTGTTCCTCAGGATCTCCCTGGTGGCAGTGCCGACCTGCCAAGTCGATGTGGAGAAGAGCCCTGTGTAGGCTCTGGCATGAAGGAGTCGCTAGGAGATGGGTCTGGAAGCTTGGTTTGCAGAGCAAACAGTTTACACTTACAGTGTGGGTTTCAGCGGGGTGACTGGAGGGCGCCCACAGAGAAGAGACAAGGTGCTGAGTAAATGTTTAGTCAGGGCGCTGGCTATGATGTCTGACCCTCCGCTGTGTCCTAAACCCCTGGTTCTCTCGCCCARCCTAAAAAAAGGATGGTCCAGGCATGGGGGCCCTCGCTGGAAACAACCCCCCCACCCCCAATCCCCGCATCAATCAAAGCCGTTGCAAAGCGCTTCCACCAGATAAGCASAGCGCCTGCCGGTGCCCGTGCAACTGCTAGGAGCAGATGGTCTGAGCTAGAGGCAACCCGGCTCCTTCCTGAAGAACCGACTTGTTGATAATCTTGCCTCCAACAGTTTGTTGATGGGTGAAGAAAAGCAGTGGCGCAAAGGTTCTCCTTAGGACCGTCTGAACTCCTTACAAGAGGCAGCCGAGTCTCTGAGCGCAGGTCCCGCTCCCGGAACTGCAAAGGGGAGCAAGGACAAGGCGCAGGGCCTTGGGAGGGGCGGCCTGCACCTCCTAGCCCGGCACCGGCAGTGACTGGCGGCGAAGGGGGCAGTCAGCAAGGAAGGAGAGCGAGAGGGCATCTCCACAATTTAGACCTTCTGACCTTCCCGCAGTCTCGGGATATACCGGGGAGAAGGGCAAACAAGGGGCACGATCCCCTGGAACTGGGAGTCCTCGGCCTCCAGGGTGAATAAATAAATTATTAAGCGCCCAATACACAATAGCCTCGCTAGATGGAGACGAGGAATCACTGCAGCGGCGCTGGCGGCGGCGGCGGGGAGCGCGGGCGGGAGTGCAGCCTCGGGCGGGAGGCGGGCGAGGCTCTGGCTCCGCTCACGTCTGTTTTCCTTTTTCGTGCATTATTTATTTCGCCTCCGCCCGCGGCCCTGCTGTCCGAGCCGCCGCTCCGGGCCGGCGCCTCTCGCCGCTGCCTTCCGCGGGGGCCGGCGGAAGGCGCGGAAAGCTCGGGCACCCAGCGCCCCGGGCAGCCGCGCGGCGCCACCGGCAAGGGCGGGGACCGGGGCGGCGCGGGGAGCCGCCAACGGTTCGAGGGGGGCTCGAGCGGTCCCTCCMGGCGGCCTGGAGGCGACTTTCCCCGCCCTCCGCCCCCGCCTCGGCCCTGGGTACCGCCCCCCCTCCCGCCCCGCGCGCGGCCAGGCGCAGCCTGGAGCCACCGCGCCCTGCGCCCCGTGCGAGCGCGCCGCGCCCGGGGCCCCAGCTCAGCAGCCCTGGAGGCCCAAGCGGCGCGCAAACTTTTGCTCCAGTGCCGGGCGCTCCTGCTAGGCATGTGAAGCCCCCAGGCGCCCGCGCAGCCGCCCGGGTGAGAACCGAGGCCCCGCCTAGAGGGCGGGGGGACTGGGGAGGCGGCTGGCTTTAAATGGGGGCCGTCCGGCGGCTGAGAAACAGAGCTGCTGCGGGGGGAACGCTGACCTCTCTTCTCTGCCCCGAAGATCGGTTGGGGCCGCCACCAGGCAAGGTGGCGTGGGGCATCGGAGGGGTGCGGGCGGAGATGGAGGCGTGAAGGGAAACCCACGCCCTGGAGCGGGAGATCCGGGCTCGGGGTGGGGGGGGTAAACCCGGGTGCACACGGAGGTGCATATGTTGCAGTGTGCGCAGTGAGGCCGCGGGGCAGAGGGTGCAACGCAGCCAGTGATTTCGTGATGCTGTGCATGGAGGGTTCAAAGAGTGTGCAGGCAGTAGTCTGTGGTGTGCATGGGGGTCAGTGGGTGCGCACGGCTCTTTCTGTGGGTGTGTGCGCAGGGTGAGTGGTTCCCGCCGAGCTTCAAGTGTGCTCCCAGTGAGAGTGAGTTGTGCATGACTGTTTCTGGGGGTGCATGGGGTTCAGTAAGTTGACTTTCTGGAGGTGTGCATGGGGCCAAAGTGTGAACGCAGTATTTTGGGGGTTTGAGCCACGGTAGGCTGTGAGTACGAGATGCACGAGAGTCAGCGTGTGTGCAAGCTAAATCAAAGGTGCACTTACAAAGGTGCCCCAGAGTGTGGGGCGTGCCCTCCGGACCCGGACTGCTACGTGTGCTGGTGCGCGGAGGTGATGGTGCCCGTGCGGTGTCCACCTGACCTAAGCCTTGCTCCCCTGACAGTTCGCCCCACCAGTGGGCGCCGCGGGTCGAGATGCTCCTCCGGGACCTGGTGCTGCGCCGTGGCTGCTGCTGGCCCTCGCTGCTGCTGCACTGCGCGCTCCACCCGCTCTGGGGCTTCGTGCAGGTGAGCAGAGAAAGGGGGCCGCTCTGGCTGGGAGGAGGGAGGTGTCATTTCACTCCCTAAGGCCTGGCTCCTACAGCAGTGCCACTGATTGGTCCTGGGGCCTGGAAAGATAAGAAACTCCAGAAAGAGGCTTCAACTATGGCCTGTGGCCTATGGCCTGCAGGACAAGGTCATGGCAGGAAACAGGGCTTGGGGACTAGCTTTTGATGGTAACCTTCTATTGCAGAAATTTGGGGAAAGAAACAAACCTGAAAAGAAAAATGATCCCAAGAATGTGCATTCTTTATTTCCCTCCAGAACTCACTGGGTCACTTCATTTTGGTCTTCMAAACAGGCAGGGGCCCTGTGTGTTCCTTTGTAGGTAGTGGAACTGGGGATGTTGACAGATTATGCCTGTGGCTACTTGTGACCCATATAAGGACCTGTCCCATCTGTCAGACTACTTGAGGGTGAACCCTCCCTTGAACCTCCCAGACCCTGGCACAGAGGCCAGGCAGCCACCAACTGAAGTTTTACCTCTTAGGGCTGATGGGAAGTTCAGATGGGATGGTCCCTGGTACGATCCAGAGAGGACACAGCAGTGGTACAGTGGAGAGAGGTCAAGAGGACTTTGGTGTGTGTCAGCTCTGCCCCTCACCAGCCAAGGGACTTTGGGCGACCMATGTGACCCCCTCTGCTCCTTGGTCTCTTCCTGACTGTGCTACTTATTCTAAGTACTTGAAGAGATAAAGCAAGTAGATCACTTTGMCTGGACCATAGTAAACACTAAGGGGTAGGCGTCACTGCCACTGAGATAAGTATGACGAATGTCCCTCTTCTCTCTGGCCCCGGGGGTTTCTGGCAATCACCAGGTAGTATGGCATTTTTGAATTGTTAGAAGTTTTACTTTTGGGGGTATTGAAAGACCCACTCTGAGGTAGTTGTAGCTTCATGTTCTCCTGGTGGCACTTTGGGGTCAGTGACTATTCAGAGGGTTGCCCTGAGTTGGGGTGACTGAATGAGGAAGGGATGGATGAGATGGCTTGCCAGTCTGCTGTGGTCCATGAGCTGCCCCAAATGATGAGACCCTCTCTGCTGGGAACCAGCTCGGTCAGTCCCACTTGCATGGTGGCCTGGGTGACCCCCATAGAGAGCCAGGGCTCTGAGCAGGTCACCACCCCCAGCACCAGGCCCCGTCTTCTGCTCTGTTTTCAGTTTCACAATTGTTTTCCTTTTGGAACTGACAGTTTTGTTGAATGTGTGAAACAGCCGTTTGACTCAGCTGCGTGTCCCCGGGATTCAGGATTCTGTCACTTCTAAACACTTCAGCGGCTAGGGACTAGTTTCCCTTGTTCAACTTTTAACTGAGCCTGGGATGTGAAGTTCCCTTGGCTTTTATATTCATTGCTTGACCGATTTCTCTCTTCCTCCCTTCCATGGGCTTCTTTTTTTTTTTTTTTTTAAGCAAGGGGTGCAGGTGGACAGCCTTTTAGGCTAGTCTGCTGTGCGAATTAGCAGGATCTAACCAGAAGACCACTGCCACCCAGCACCCCCCCACCCCACCCCAAGACATTATTTTGTATAAGCAGCTCAGCTTTTAAGGTGTCCTATGAAACAGGCAGTGCTCATACAAGCAATTGTGTGTGTGTGTGTGTTTCAGATCCTCTTACTCAATACAAATCAATTTTCATGAAAATCAATTAGAAAAGGAATCCTCCAGATAAATAGAATGGGTAAAAATCTTGGCTTGAGGCTCTGGAAAAATTAATTTACAAATGATAGGGACAGAGAAGCCAAGGGAAAGGGGGTTTTGGAATGAATGGATCTGGTTTTCAAGCAGAAGAGCTGAATCCAGAGGAACGTGGCAGGGGAGAGGACAAATGGAAGTGCAGAGGCCATGTGTTTTTCTTTAAGTGGAGAGAATAAAATCTGTCACGTCACAGGAGTTTCTCAAGAAGGAGCTGAAGAAAAGGCTTGGAGCTATCTCTGCGTCCATGAGCATTTTGCCAGAAGAATCCTCCAGGATGGTAAACATTTGGAAGRATAGGGCCAGTGCAGCCAAGTCTTACGATTAACGGGGTCATTGGTGAGGCAGGAGACCTGGGGTCCCCAAAGCACCAGGCTCCTCCCTGAAATCAGCCTGAAGCCTCTAGCTGCTGCCAGATGATAAGAGACTTAATCATTAAAGTCAGATGACATTTAAATTGCCAGAGGGCGGGTGGGGGCATTCCTTTCCCCTTCTTACTTTAATGTGTGTGGAATTGAGATTCTGTGCTTTTGTGATTTAGGGTTCTTCTAAGTTCACTTCAGATGCTTCCTTTTTTTTTTTTTTTTTTTTGCAAAGGAAAAGGATGACAGGCTGGCAGATTTATTAGGTGTGACAGGAGTGTGTCTCATCAAGTTACTGTGGTGCTGGCCTGTCTCCATAAAAGATGCCAGAAGCCATCATCTTTGAGGTTGCCCGTCTAGAGCGATCGCCAGGGAGACAGGCTCAGGTCTGGCCTTATGGGTCTCTGTGTGCAGATGAGGATCGAGCCTGGGCCCAGGTGAGGCCTAAGCCTGCAACAGTCAGTACAGCCTGGATTATTTACTCAGTGGCATTTATTGGATACCTACTGTATGTTAGGCCTGTGTTAAGTGCAAGGGGCTTAATGTCCCTGTGGCATTGCTAGTCTGACCATGGAGAGATGATTAAATAAGTGATTACAGGCAAGAGAGCTCAGTGGGCACAAACAGCTTGGCCCTGGTGCTGTGGCTGAGAGTCAGGATGCAAATGAGGGGAAGCAGAGGCCAGAGCCCCAGGAGGCCAGGGAGAGAGCCGGGGAGGTTCCCTTGCGGTTGTGAGCCCCTAACATGGTGTCTTGCAGATTAGACTTGATCCTGAGGCCCAAGGGGACTGTGGAGGGTTTGAAGTCAGAGATGACACCGTCTCACATCGGCGCTTCAGAAATCAGCCCAGCTCCAGCGGGAAGGATGGATTCAGGGAGGGGATAGGACAAGGAGCAAAGGGGCTGGCGAGGGTAGGATCGCCAGMTTTAGGAAATAAAAATATAGGACATCCAGTTAAATTTGAATTTCAAATAAATCACAGGATGCTTGATAGCACAGATCTAACCCATCCGATAGTGGGGGCATGCTTATCCTGAGAAGTTTTTGTGGTTTATCTGTAATTCCGATTGGATGGGACATTTTTCCATCTGAGAATCCTTGTGAAAGGCAGGTGCTGCCCAGTGGAGACCTGCGGGGGCCCAAGGTTGGGGACGGTAGCAGAGGGAATGGAGAGGAGTGGACGCATTAAGCCCTGACTGGGAGGCAGCACCTCCCACACCTGGAAGCCTCACTCATGGGGCAGGGGTGGGATGTAGTTGGGAAGTGGGTGCTGATGCTGGRGACTGGCAGCCGTGAAGCACTGTGTCCCTCGGACCACAGCGACAGGCACCAGAGCCAGGCGATGCCGTGCCTTGGCCCACTCTGTGCAGCCGCAGCACTGGCGGGATCCTGGCTGGAGGAGGATTCTGCCGAGTGGGGCAGGGAGGMAGAGCCGTCTCAGTAAGGAACGACGCCAGTTTGGGTTCTGTGGGGTTTTGGCAAGTCATTGGCCTCTCTGCGCCTCTGATCTCTGTCAGTCGAGTCAGTGAAGAGCAGGTGACTTCAGGGCAAGTTCCCTCTCCTGGTGAGACTCCCCAGATAACAGCCATGGGACAGATGCTGAGACCAGCTCCCAGAGCCCGAGGTCCCTTCTCTGCTGGTCGGGCTGCACCACTGCCACGTAGCAGAACCCCAGTGTGGAACTGGTTGGGGACGAGGGTAGATGCTGTTTCTCCACTGCTGGGCAGACCAGCTCCCAAYGTACCTTTGCAGTGAGCACCAACTGAACGCCAGGCCCTGGGCAGCCGTGGTGTATTGCTTGGCTGGCTGAGCCCTTGTCCCACCTGTGTGTGGCTAGTAAACCTYCCTTCCTGGTTCTCAGGGAGCCATCAGGGCACATCCTTGGGGCCGACACCCAGCGAGGCTCAGCAGGTCACCTGTTCAGGTTAATACTGCAGAGACTCACCTACCTGCCTGCCCAGGAGACCCTCCACTTAATGTGGGGAGTCAGACAGCACAAGACAGCAGGCAATTGCCACAAAGAAAAAGTGTGTGCAGGGTGGGAAAGCAGCGCTAGGCTCCTCAGTCTAAATTCCGGGGGCGCGGGGCTCAGAACMGCCTGCCGGGGTGGTCCTGCTAGAGTCCGGTGCAGAGACGCTGGCCAGGGTCTGAAGAGCCACCGTCAGCAGAGGAAGAGTCAGCAGCCACGGCCTGCTGTCTGGACCAAATGACCAGGCAACGCTGTGTCCCTCRGGAAGGAGGACAGCCTCCTGTGAGAGCAGCAGGCCAGCAGTGGCACCTGCTCCCRTCTCAGTCGGGACCCAGAACGTGGAGTTTTTAGGATGCAGTGCGTTTCCTTCCCCTCTTCCTCCCCGAGCCTTGGAACTTGGCCCCGATTCTCCTGCTCCTCGTTGAACACCCTTACACATCTGTGCCCTTATATCCCCCCACAAAAAACAGGTCATCCTGTCGGGCCAGGTTTAACCTGCGTGCTCCTCTTGAAGTCCCTCGTGCCAGTTGTGCCATCGAGGCTGGCATGCGTTACTTCAGCCGTGATGTGGCTTGACGTCTGCGCCCTTGGTGGAAGCGGTCTCGGGGGCCAGCTGTTGGAGCATGGAGCTTTCCAGTGACCCCTGGGGCCTTGGAAAGTGGTCATCTAGAGGTGGCAGACCCAATGTTGGGGGCTGCTGTGATTGCCCCAGGGGAGGAGGCTGTGGGTAGAGCCCCCCCCCCCCCCCCCGCCCCATGCGATCCATGGTCCTTGACCAACCCCACACGGTGATGAGCGGGAGCTCGTTGGCATCTCAGATATTAACTTTGGCTGTAAAGCAGCCCACCCCACCCTCACCCCCACGGCCATTACCAAGCCTCCTTGCAGCTGGCAAGCGCTGAGGGGGCACAACCCTTCTGCCTCTCTCCCGTGAGCCTCATCGTGCAAGAGCAGGCTGCTCACAGTTGCAAGGAAGTTGGGGTCCTGGGTTTCTAGTGTCTCCCAGGGCCACATGGAGGTGGGCGGTGACCACCCACTCTTCCCTTCAGGCCTAGAAGTCAGCGTAGGCCCCGGAGCAGGCCCGAAACCCACACTTGTGACTTTCCTGCTCTCTGTAGGGAGGGCCACCAGCAGCCGGTCTCAGCCAGCCTCTCAGGCTGACCCTGCCTACAAGGAGGAAAGCTGAAGAAAACACGCAGGCCCCGCTCCACCTGTGAAATTCAGATTGAATCAGGCACGAGGGAGGCTCAAGTGGGAGAATTTGTGAGAGCTGCCTGGGGGGTTCCAGTGTACGCCGGGGCTGGGGCCCCTGGTCCAGCAAGAGCTTCCTGCTGACAGATGAAGAAACTGAGACCAGGGCTAGGAAAACACAGGCTAGGATGCCAGGGCAGAGGGCCTGCTCCCGTCTGTGATACCCGTCCCTCCATCCATCTGCCAAACATCTGTGAGTGTCGGCATTCCTTGTCCGGTTAATAATAATGAGAGGGAACCCAAGGCCTGGCCCTGCCTCACAGAGATGGCGGTTCCATGGTGAAGACAGGCAGCAAMCAGGGAAGAACCTGGTGCTTGGGGTGGGGCCCATAGGGACACTGGCCCTGGGCCRGGAGGCGACATCTGAGCTGCCGGGTAGCACAGAGCGGGCAAGGGCCTGAGAGCGTCCTGCCCCAGGAACAGCATGTGCCAGAGCTAGAACCTGAAAGGGCGTGAGGGTGGGCAGAGAGGGTGCCTGGGGGCCCAGGCGGGGTCTTGTGGGCCATTGACCCCCTGAGCACTGGGGAGGCACTCCCTGGGCCTCGGCGGTTGGAGAGGGTTTGATCAGATGGTTTCCCACTGGACCAAGAGGCCCGGCCGGGTAGGACTCCTCCCCAAGATGGGGACCTTGCCCCAGAGTGGTGACAGGCCACAGGGACAATGACTGGGGAGAAGCTGAGGGTGTGGCCTTGTGCTGTTGCAGGGAAAGGCGAAGAAGTGCTGGGCTTAGGTGACTGAAAAGACAGACTCACTCTACTGTCACTGTCCACCTCTGTCTGGGCCTCAGTTTCTATATTTGTACCCGAGGGAAGTTCTAGAGGTTTTCCTTCAGGTTCTTATCTCTCTGCCATCAATATCCAGGTCGTCTGCCCCGGGATCCTGGCAGAGCTGGGGACAAAACCTTGGTCTGCGGAGCTGCCGGGCCGGCCTCCCAAGGCCATGCCCCCGTGCCCTCTGCCTGCTCTCCCTGCCTGGGTCCCGGGGATGGGCCCCACGCTGCAGCCTGGCAGGGACCTGGGTGGGCCCCTGGGGGTTTCCAGAGCTTCATTTTCTCCTGTATCTTTTGGGTGCGCCCCTGTCTGTAGGTGACGCACGGTGAGCCCCAGAAGTCCTGCTCCAAGGTGACGGACACTTGCCAACACATCTGCCAGTGCCGGCCCCCGCCTCCGCTGCCCCCGCCGCCCCCGCCCCCGCCGCCCCCCAGGCTCCTCTCCGCCCCAGGTAGGTAAAGGCTCACTTGTTTTTTCCGGGTTGCTCTCTGTGTTTTCCTGGGCCCGGGAAGATCCAGTGAGTGAGGCCGAGGACAGTCCTGCCTCCTTTGTAATTTTCCACTGGCCGAGCGGGAGGGAAGCCAAGGCCTAACTTTTCCCTGCAGTCTGCAAAACGCCCTTCCACAGAATGCTCCTGCGAGATGGAGAAGGATGTTTCTCCCATCGGTTAATCGGATAAAAGTCAATCTCCGTGTGATGAGTGACCCGGCCTGCATTGTTCTGCAGGCCAGACCTTTACAGGGGGCAGCCACTGGGTCCTGATTTGCACACCCCATCCACACACACAGCTTTATTTCTCGACTTGAATTCATGTGTAAGGAGCCAGTCGGGGTAGAATCGAAGGCCGGGCTCTGGGAGCCTTGCACGGGGGCCTTTTAGCCATTTGCACCCAATTCTGCTAAAGCCTCTTTGGCCTCCTCTCCTCTCTGGATGACTGCATCCCTGAGCAATTTAGATTGCCTGGTCATTCAAACAGAAGAACGATTCTTTAGCCAGAAACGGTCCCAGCCCTGACCTCTACGCTGTCAAGTTCCCTGCTTACAACAGCCAGTCGATGGGGTCTCTAAAGGGAGACTGTGTTTTAGATGGACCACTCACGTTTTGGTCTGTAGGATCCCCGAGACCACGTCCCCCCGAGACCACGTCCCCCCACCTCACTGAACATCTCCATTGAATTATCTGGAGCATATTTTAAATAACCTTGCCGAGGCTCGTTCTCTACTAGACCGCGTTTCCCACCTGGTATGCAGTCGGCGACGTAGTATTCTGGGGCATCTTGTTAGTGCGAGTCCTTGTATTTTTGTCTGCCAGGCCCCTGCCCATCCCTGTCCTTGCCTGGTACCCTGTGGCCCCAGGCTTCTCAAAGTGTGGCCCTCAAATGACCCGCTTCAGCAGCGACTGAAGCAATGGTTTTAAAGTACAGCTTCCCTGGCCACTTCAGGCCCGCAGAGTCGGGGGCCTTGGGGTGGGGCTCAGGATGGTCAGGAGGACAGGCTCGGAGACAGTCAAGTGCAGACTCAGGTGGAGACCCTGGGCCTCGCAGGTCTCTACCCCAGGCCTCCAGGGGATCCTCCTACACCAAGTGCTTKCTCACCTCTTATCTTGAAGGGCACCCCGTCCTGGGCTGGGGGACAGGGTCCTGGGCACCTGCCCCTGGAGATCACTCCATTCCCTTCCTTGGAATTCCTGCTCCTCCCACTCTCTGGGCTCCATACACAGGGTCAAAGGCCGTCTGGTCTTCTGGGATCTTTCAGCCCTTCCAGAAAGGCCATCCTGTCAGCCTGAGAGAACACAATTTTTTTTTTTTTTTTTGCCAGGGACACTGGAAATTCCTGAGTAGTTAAGCAAAAATAGAGCTCCAGAGGACAGCACGTGACCTGGGTCATTAAGAAGAAATGGGAGGGGTTGGGATTTAGCTCAGTGGCAGAGTGCTCGCCTAGCATGCGCAAGACCCTGAGTTCAGTCCTGGGCCCTGGAAAAAGAATGGGTGAGGTCGTTCTAGGAAGATAGGAGGTTGTGGAGATAGGGTGCCAGGCAGAAGGAGCAGCACAGACAAAGGCCTGGTGCTATGGCTCTGTGGGACCCATCTTGGGAGTCACCGGTCTTTCAGTGGGTTTGTCTTAATTTGTTTTCTGTTGCTATAACAGAATACCTGAGGCTGGGTGAGCTATAAAAGAAACAGGTTTTTTTGGCTCATGGTTCTGAAGGCTGGAAAGACTTCAGAGCAGCACATCTGGAAGCTGTATGAAGACATGGGGGAAATGTGTGAAAGGGCAGGCGGACCCTGGCAGAGAGACTAAAGGGCGTAACTGATCCATTCCTGAGAGAACTAACCCAGTTTCATGAGAAAGACATTAATCCCTCTTAAAGTCCTTCCTCCCAACACAACTGCCCTGGGAGCCAAGTTCCAGCAGGAGTCTCGGTGGAACAAACCACACCCAGTCCCTGGCAGGGTTTCCAAGGGTGGCCCATGGGCTGATCTCCAGGGGTCTGTGTGCCTGGCCRAGTCAGCCGCTTCTCATCCCGGGGATCGCTCTTGGCAGCCGCCGTATCCGATACCACCTATTATTCGCCCTATTTTTTTCTCTTTACCTAGACTCACATTTTGTGTATAAAAATTAATATCCAAAGAAAGTTCTTTAAGACTGCTAGAAATAAACCCAGGGTCACTGGCTTAACCAGCAGGGCAGCCATCAAAAGAAATGCAACAAGTCAGCGTTTTCAAATTCTAGCCTTCGGTGGAAGGTTCTGAGCCTTCTCTTTTTGATAGAAAGGGAGAGAAGCCAGTGGCAGAAGCGTGTCCAAGCCACRGGAGCAGCAGGCCGAGACGCTCTGTGAAGCCATCAGAAGGTGGTGAGGGAATCATGGGGAGCGCCTGCTTCTCTCGTGGGACTTGTGGGAGTCAGATTTCTGTAACTGTAACAAAATACCTTAAGCGATCAACTTGATGAGGGAAAAGGTTTGTTCTGCCCCACAGCGGCAGAGGTCTCCATCCATGGTGGTTGGGTTCTGTGGCTTTGGGCCTGGGGCAGCACAATGTATCATGGCGGAACTGCATGGTGGAGGGGGCCTGTTCACCTCCTGGTGACCAGGAAACAGAGGGACAGGAAGGGATGGGGAGCCCCATATTCCCTTCAAGGGCACACGCCCAGGCCCTGCTTCCCAAAGGTTCTGCCACCTCCCAATAGTGTCATGGGCTGGGACCAARSCTTCAACACGGCCCTGTGGGGGACCGTCAGAATCCAGACGAGGCAGGGTTCTGAGTGTTGGGTCAGGTACCACCTAAAATCGGCTCATCTGCCACGCGTGGTGGCTCGTGCCTGGATACCAGTGACTTGGGAGGCTGAGGCAGGAGAATTGCAAATTTGAGGCCAGCCTCAGCAACTTAAGGAGGCCCCTAAGCCACTTAGTAGGACCCTGTCTCAAAATTTAAACAGCAAACAAAACCCGGGGGATGTGGCTCAGGGTAGGGCAGCCCTGGGCCCAATACCTGAAAATAAGTAAGGAAACAACATTAAAAATGATAAAATAAAATGAGCTCAATCAACRGCGGGGACATGGGCCATCTTGAGGAAGCTGCCGTGGGCAGTGATGTCCCTACCCCCACGTGCGTCAAGCAGGGAGGTGACATGGTGGTGCGTGCCTGTCTCAGGGAGATCGACCTCCTGACATGGCTGGTGGGCTGCGGTATCATATGACTCAGTGCCCAGAGCCGGGGAGGAGCCAGAGGGTGCTGCACATGGGGAGAGGGGACCGCCGACTCTGGGCCCACCGTGCCTCGGGTGGGTGTGGAGTCTCTTTCCGTGTCCCCCGATCCCTCCTGGGTGACTTGTCTCGGCTGACGAAGTCCCGTGGCTGCAGGCTCCAGGATCCCATAGACCCGAGTCGGTAATCTCCCTCCACAGAGAGCTCTTGTCCCCCAGGGAAAGTCCCAGGCTGACTGTCATAGGGCAGTGTGGGTCCCGTGGCCATCGGTGGACCATCAGTGGGCCACTGGTGGACCAGACATGGCCAACTCAGGCCTCAGCATCTTCTTCTTCTAGAAAACAGGTTCATGGACGACACTCACTCCACAGGGTTCTGTTGGGGATCCCCAAAGTGGGAAGTACGTTGGAAAACTGGGCGGGCATCCATTGCTGCTGGTGGCCACTCGGAAGAGGTGGCTTGGAGGGCCAGCTAGACTGGGGGTGGGGGGGTAAAGAGGTGCTGTTGGAGGGGACAGGTGATCCCAAAAGGGATGAAATCAACCCCAGGTGGTTCAAACGGGTGAACATGTCTTTAGCCAGAGTGGCTTCGGCTTTGACCGCTGAGTGGTCAAGGTCCTGGTTTGCGACTGCGGTTGCTCCGGTTTGGGCCTGGAGAACGCCTGGGACCATGCCATCCTGCCTCTCACTGTGACCAGTCAGGCGGGGAGGCAGGGAGGCCCTGGGAAGCGGAGAGGATTCCCAGGGAGGCCGGGGCCGGCGGGAGTGGAGGAGAGAGCAGCTGACACAGGCCCAGGGTTCAGAGCCCGAGGGTCAGCAGAATGCCATTGATCTGCAGGAGGCTGGCTTGGGTGCAGGTGCCTGAGACAGAGGGGCAATGAAATGGGGAGAGGGACAGCCGTTCCTGCAGATCCGCAAAGTCCCCTCTGGAAGTAACGACCAGAGGCCGCTGCAGGAACGGCTGGGCGTCCTTCACGTGGCCAGACAGGCCGCCCTCTGCATCCAAGCCATCCACCACTCACTGGGGCCAGCTTGTCCCACTCTGCCCAGGACTGTCCTGGGTTTTGCCCTCAAGTCCGCCGTCCTGGGGACCTGTCACTCCTGGGCACCTTTCTTCTGGGAAAGTCATGGCCGTTTTAAAAATCCATCTTTGTTATGTTGACGTGGGGTCATTGGGTTTCCCTAATTGTATCGGGAATCACTGGACAGGGGCAGCCCAGTGTGGCATTCCTCTCTCRTGGCCCAGCTCTGTGCCACCATCCAGCAGCCTCGCCCTGAGTCCTGCCTGCCCTTGGGAAGGAGCGTGGAAGGGCTCTTGTGAGGCGGATGGTTCTTGAACACGCGTCCTCTGCTGTGCGTCTCTCTCTCACGCTCGGCCCACACCCTTGTACTCAGGCAGGGTGACACCCTCCTGGGACAGCTGCTCTTCGTACCCTTGTGCAAGCCGTACCCTTGTGCAAGCCGCGGGCCAAGGGGCGCTGGATGGTTTGTAGCCCCTGGAAGGTGTGATCTCTGGGGCGGGCCTGGGGATCTGCACTCCCCACACTCCCATCCATGAGCCTGGTGCCCTTGGTCAGGGGAGCAGACCCGGTGCCCCAGCTCCGTGGCCCTGGGCTTTGCTCTCAGAGCTTCAGTTCCCTGGTATGGCTCCCCCCTGGGCAGGATTGCTGCCAAGGCTGGGGGTCTCCAGGCCCCCCCCAGGGGCTGGCTTAAGGTGGGGTGCACAATTCAGCCTCCCTCCCTGCCC